CCACCACACGCCCCGCCCCAACCGCACCCACCCCACCTAACCCCCACACACACGCCCCACCCCACCCCACCAACCCCCACGCACCTGTGCAGGATAGGTAGCTCGCTGGTCGGCGACTGCGTGCGCAGGTCGTGCAGGCACGGCTGCTTTGGCGCCTTCAGCCTCTGCCCGCCTCCCCCGCCGTCACCGCCCCCGCCACCGCCATCGCCGGCAGCGGGGGTGGGCGCCACCCCCGGCAGGAGCGCGGGTCGGCGCGGCGACCACGTGCCGGGCTGCGAACCGCTGCGCAGCCGCGTGACGAACACCTCCTCCGCCGCGCACGACGTCTTCTGCAGGCATAGCGCGCGCGCGGCGAGCCTCGGCAGCGAGTTGGTGCGCCGCAGCGCCCCGCCGCCGCCGCCGCCGCCGCCGCCGCCCATGTTGTCGTCTGGCGGCAGGTGGACGATGTCGTGCTGGAACTGGATGATGTCGGCAATCTCCGTGACGACGTCGTCGGCCGTGACGTGCGTCGCGGCGGCGGCGGCGGCTGCCGCGGCGGACGTCTCCCGAGCGATGTTGGCCTGGGGAAAGAATACGAGATGATGTGATGATGCAGAGAGAGAGAGACGGTGAATGACGATGACGCGGAAAGAGAGACGGTGGGTGTTATCGCAGAGAGGGGAAGGGGAGGAAGGGGTGGAGAGGGAAAGGAGAGGGGGAGGTGGACAGGGGAAGGAGAATCAGGAGATGTAGGGCGGTTAAGATGCGGAGAGAGAGAGAGAGAGAGACGGTGGGTGTTAGCGCAGAGAGGGGAAGGGGAGGAAGGGGTGGAGAGGGGGAGGAGAGAGGTGGAGAGGGGAAGAGAATCAGAAGATGGAGGGCAGTTAAGACGCAGAGAGAGAGAGAGACGGTGGGTGTTATCGCAGAGAGGGGAGGAGGAAGGGGTGGAGAGGGGAGGGTAGAGGTGGAGAGGGGAAGGAGAAGGAGGGAGATGCAGAGGAAAGGAGTTATAAAGGGGAAGAGAGAGTTGGAACTGGGGAGGAAGGAGGGAAGAGAGATTGTGAGTGTTAGTTCAGAGAAAGGGAAGGGGAGGAAGCGGTGGAGAGGGGAATGAGAGGGAGAGAGGTGGAGAGGGGAAGAGAGACGGAGGGTGTTGGCGCAGAGAGTGTAAGGGGATGAAGGGGTGGAGAGGGAGAGGGGGAGGTGGAGAGGGGAAGGAAAGGGAGGGCGGTGTAGATGAAGGAGTTACAAAGGGGGAGAGAGGGCTGGGAATCGGGAGGAGGAGGGAGGTGGCGAGGGAGAGGAGAGCGAGGGCGCTGGAGAGAGGGAAGAGAGATTGTAAGTGTTAGTTCAGAGAGGGAAATGAGAGGAAGGGGTGGAGAAGGAAAAGAGAATAAGGGAGCTGGAGAGGGGAAAGAGGAGAGGAAGGGCTGGAGATATGGTCGGTGTATCTGTAAGAGAAGTCGGGTTGCGAGATGGCATATCCTCGCGTGCAGTTACCGTTAGCAATGCCTGACTGCAAACACACACGATGTGGTGTCTGATGAGATTGTTCTTGTAAAACATAGGCGCTTACAGACTACAGGACGTAGTTTGAAAGTGAAAGCAACGGTTTTGCGTGATGTAGCCTCGTTTGCCTACCTAATGTGCTGCCGTCTCCCTGGAAAAACCGCTAGCAAAAAGCTGACGTCGCTAGACGCACTCGCACACGCTTATTGCTAATCTGGTAATGTATGCCTGCGAAACATGGCGTTGTGAGAAGCAGTCTTGTAATTTAATATATTTAATGCCTGTAATGCATTGCATGCATGCATGCATGCTCCACTTCCTCGAAGAATCTCGACGAAGCGTCGATGAGGGCATTAAAGCAGGAAAGAACCTACTCACTGGTTTGTATAAACTTGGTAACTTAAAACTCTGCCCGGGTGCCATTTAAAAACAGTCATATTTTCTGCAGTTACAGCCACGTGCAGGTACGCTCTTCCACATATCCAAAACCCTTTGTGAGAGAGAGAGAGAGAGAGAGAGAAAGAGCTTACGGGCATCTTGCTTATACAGATTATTGTTATAGGCTCTCTAGTTACTGCCTCATTCAAGGTGAAAATGTACTGCCATTTAGGTCGACGTGGCATTAAAGCATATCGAACGTCAATGAGGGTCACATCTAATACCACAAGTCTCAAATGTGGTTAGTATGAGGATTTGCGTCCTCTGCTCTTAGGTTAGATTAACAACGCAACCAACCTCTGCATTGCCCAGATTGGCCCAACATTCGCACATGCCAGCACCTGTAAACTACAGAATGGTAGCGGGTTGAATATGTGAACATGATCATGGTCTGTGATTCCTATACTGCGCAGCAGCGCACTGCTAGTATGCCCTCTCCATACACATTAGGAGAAGGTGGAGATCCAGCTCCACTAGCTAAGTTTAACGATGCAGCACTTATTGGTCACAGTACCTCAGTACGACTTCCAAAAGTCATCGAAAAACCGCAAAGCGCCTACACCGCGGCAACCACCCAACCTACACCTCCGCCGGCACACCCACTCACCATCGAGTTTGAACTGAAGCCGATTCCGTTTGAAGTGAAGAACCACCACCAAGGCGCACAGGTCACGGTAACCCCCGCCCCACGAACCACACCCCCACCCCACGAACCACACCCACACACGCTCACCGTCGACTTCGAGTGCTGTTTTCGCTCAACGCGAAAAAAAAAACCACCAAAGCGTGCAAATCACGGTGACCGCCCAACAAACACCTCCTCCCCCACCACGCCCCCGCCCCCCACGAACCACCCCTGCCCACTCGCTCACCGTCGACTTCGAATGCTGTTTCCGCTTGAAGCTGCCCCAAGTGGCGAAGCGCGGGGGCTTTGGCACGACGAGCGGCGACCCGAGTTCGTTCTTCGTGTTCAAGCGCTCGAGCGAGGCGTTCTTCTGTTTCCCGCCGCCGCCGCTGCCAGAGCGCGCCACGTTGTTCAGCTCGCCCGCCTGCGCCGCCAGAGCAAGGCTCTTGCCGATCGCACCGACTGCGAAGTTGATGTGAACCCGCTGCTTCGGAGACGTGTCCGGCTTGCGGTTGAGGTCGTTCTGACAGTTGAGGGTGAGCGACGGGCGCGGCTGCCGTTCCTTCTGGTTGTTGGCGAGCGCCTGGAAAACGCAGACGATGATGTTGATGATGATGACGACGCAAATGGTGATGATGATGATGATGATGATGATGATGATGATGATGATGATGATGATGATGATGATGATGACGATGCAAATAGTTATGATGATTATGATGATAATGATGATGATGATGATAATGATGATGATGATGATGATGACGATGAGGATGACAACGACGACGACGACGGTGATGATGATGATGATGACGAAGACGGCAGCAGCGGCGGCGGCGACGATAACGACAACGATAGTGATGATGTTGATGATGAGGACGATGATGACAAGACGGAAGAGCGACGAGAGAAAATGGCGTGCGTTTGTTAATTCATAACGGCGTGTTAATACTAAAGGAGCGCGATAGACAGAGGATGGAGTTATTGGTTAACGTCGGCAGATCTAATGAAGCTCGAATATCCGCATGCATGACGGCCTAGTTTAATAAATTACTGTGGTGAAGTTATATTGATCTGTCCTAAACAATGCAGCTAGGTAGTAAAGACATAGTTGCCCATTAAAGACTTTGATGCAGTCAAAGTAGAAATAATAATAAGATATATATATATATAGATGGATGGATGAATGGATGGATGGATGGATGGATGGATGGATGGATGGATGGATGGATGGATGGATGGATGGATGGATGGATGGATGGATGGATGGATGGATGGATGGATGAGGAAGACACTGGATGGGTATGAATGGTATGAATGGATAAAGACTGGACTGGATTGCACTGGGATGGGTTGAACATGGGTGGGTGGATGGAATGATGTATGGATGAATGGATATGATGGCATGGAATGGATGGGATGGATGGAGGATAGCATAGATAGTGATGATAGATCAGATAATAGATAGTAGATAGATAGCAAAAATAATAGGATAGATAGATAGATAGATAGATAGATAGGATTAGATAGATAGAATAGATAGATAATAGATAGTATAGATGATAAGCATCGCATCGATAGATAGTACGATCAGATATAGATAGATAAAATGGTGGACGGATGGATAGATGGATAGATAATGAATGAATGGATGGCGATGGATGGATGGATGGACGGATGGATGGATGGATGGATGGATGATGGATGGATGGATGGATGGATGGATCGTATGTGAATGGATGGATAGGGATGTATGGTCATGAATGGATGATGGATGGATAGATGGAGTGGAGCAGAGATGAATGGCATGAAATGGATGGATGAGGATGGATGCATGGATGATGGAGGCGCATTGAGGATGGCATGGAATGATGGCATGGACGGGGGGATGAAGGATGAATGGGATAGATAGATAGATAGATAGATAGATATAGATATAGATATATAATGTGAAGTGACAAGTAAAGTACGTGTGGCACTATGGAGCATCTGTAACGAAGAATTTGTAAGTAGAGTGCACTTGTTGGGCGGTAAGGGTCCTTCGACATAACACGTCTCAGCCAGTGGCGTCACAACATGATTGGGGGCCTGTAAGCAAAAATGAAATTGGGGCCCTAAACATGAATATTTTCCGCCAAAAATTGGGGGGAGGGGATAAAGTTTGGGGGCCCCTTTAGGCTGGGGGCCCGTAGCGTTTTGCTACGGCAGTCCTACGGCTGTGACGCCCCTGGTGTCAGCTCTGTACCTGTATGGCACGCTGGTCATTCGAGCGCTGCTTGCGAATTTTGCCGATGAGGCAATGTTGTAGCAGCCGCACTAGAATGAGCGGGTGCAGGGCAATCGGCATGCCCGACAGAAACCATGAGAGAAACCCTTCCACGGAACTCTCCGCGGCTCCTCCATCTGCCGGGGACCTGTCCTGCGAACGATTCTGTAACAGACCGTTATGTCGTCTCGTTAATATACGCTTACGTACTCCTGTGAATGTGTTAGCACTAACATATCGAGGTTCAAGTCGGCCAGATGTTTCGTGAATTTCAGTCAATGTCAGTCAATGTTCAGTCAATGTTCGTCAATGTTCAGTCAATTTCAGTCAATGTTACGTCAATTTCAGCTGCACTGAGCACGGTTTTCCTCTAGTATGTACGTAAATACAATACTACTATACTATACTATGTGCAACGCACATACTATATGTATACTACGCACATACTATATGTATACTATGTACGTATACTTATGTACGTGATGTGAGCAGCGATTTAAATATTGAAATACGTAATTATGATATCATTTTCTGTAAAAAAATCCAATATGTGTGTTATAACGAAACGGAATCAGGCACCTTTACCGAGCTAATTATAATTTTCGGTTTCTCTAAATTCAGGCAATTAAATTTTTGTAAAATTCCGATCCAATGGTTATTAGGTTTATCTATCGCCGTTGCCCTGACACTAATTACTACCAACTAATTATTTATGATGCAATTTATCTGACACATGATGTGTTGCACGTAATAGCACCCTCTCACGTGCAGCTCATAGATAAACATTAAACACTTGAAAAATATTGACCAGATTGCAGATGTAATACGAATGGACATCAGTAAATTATCATGCAAACTCAAAGCAATGAATACTGAGGTATAAATACTATAACCATTACATTATACTAGCAGGATAAATCGGAACATCTAAACTGACTAGATATTTAGAAATAAATGTTCAATTTAGTGCAATTTAACTTAAATAAAGAACGACTTGTGTACCGTGTGTAATACTGGAACCGATTTAGCAATCTAGGTATAGTAACAGATCAGAAAATTGATCGCAATTCAGTTAGAATATGTGACCACTAGATGGGGCCACTAACCTAATCTGCAAATACTGGCAATCATTAGTAATCTTGCCTATATGTTGCCGTTGGATGTAATCAAAGTTTTCTCCCATTATCGCGTAATAATAAATGAAAAGTGTGTCATCTACCATGTATAGCCATGTTCGTCTATACTTATAATGCAATACTATACTCGTCTATATCTATAAATGATAGCTAGACTCTTATACAAAATTACGTTTTTTTTTCAAAACCAAAACAAATTACATCAAAAACGTATCAGAGATGTATTACATGTTATCTGAAGAATCTTAACATATCGAGTAGACACAATATATTGATTCTGTCAATAACCCTGAAGTTCCTGAGCTCAACGTATGTGCAAAGAAAACATGGTTACACCACAAATGCATGTTATTCCCTATTATCTACTCCTGATGTTATGATGCAGCAAAAAAATGCAGATAATGACAAAAAAATATTATACCTCCACATGTTTGAGCAGCTCCAACAAAACGCCTTCTGGTGTCAGACCTAAGACAGACGGCTCCTTCTTTGGCACTCTTTGGTTTCCCAAACACACATTCTCAATGTAGACATCTTCGGTTGATAGTTCACTGTCTTCGCACGCATCACAACCTGCAATCGCGAGAGAATGGCGCAGTTAGCGAGCAGAAATTAATACAATTAAATACACCCTTGCTGCTCCCACGCTGACACCCATACACTCCGATAGTCCCACGCACACTCAGACCCACGTACGCATGCACGCACACACCCACGTATGCACGCACACACCCACGCATGCACGCACACACACGCGCATGCACGCACACACCCACGCATGCACGCACACACCCACGTATGCGCGAACACACCCACGCATGCACGCACACACCCACGCATGCACGCACACACCCACGTATGCACGAACACACCCACGCATGCACACATGCACGCACCCACGCATGCACGCACGCACGCACCCACGCACGCACGCATGCACGCGCTTACAGCCACGCTCGCATTCATGCGCACACAAACACAATCGTTGTGTCTGTATGTAAATTGAAACAATTAATACGCAATTTATAATCTAGTAAACGTAATTACCAAGCCTGCCGCAGCATATAAATTTAATGCCCGCCTTTTCCCAAAAACTGCAGGCTGTGTACAGTTTGTACATGCTATACATTCACCCACACACCCACCCACGCACTACCATCGCTGAGTAATTAAACTATTCAAAAATTAATTGAGCAGAAAAATGGACTGACTCGACATTGGAATTATGCCAGCTAGCCGTTAATATTTAATTCATATTATATTATATATACATATCAGTGGTTCAATTCTCTGCCCATTCAGCATTTGCCCGAACGAAAGCATTTAGGGAAAAGGTTGTCACTAAAACAATGTCATACCACTAACAGGGGCCATTACTAGCAAATAAATCATTCAGGTTGGTGTAGGTGTAGATTCTCAAATCACAGTTATAACTAGCTTCAGATATGCACGCATCCATCTAATCAACAGTTAATAAAACCTGTAATATGTTAGTAGCTCTTCATCTAACCTAAATATTACAAAACCCAAATATGATGTTACGTCTTAGCGTACTAGCGACATTACGTATTAGTTAACCTTGATCAACATTATGTCACTCCGTCTTCGATATAGTCCCTTGCACTTTGAAGACAAATATTTACGAGGTTAATTATACGATGGAAGCGGCAGGTGTAGGGAAGGGTAGCTTCTCTACACCTGGCTTCTCCATACGT